CATAGAAGTTGACAAAATATCCCAAATTTGATGAAAAATGGTCATGAATCTCCAAAGAATATGGGCCTTTATCTTATTCTAGGCAATGGCATTTGCCAAGTCTCATTCGATAATCCCGCCCCCTTCCAAAGTGCATAGCAATTTGAAACCTTTTAATAAACCTTGTGCTTCAGCCTCGTTTGTTGTTGTGATACCATAAGGACCCGAGTAAGAAACTATAATGTGACCCAAATTATTTATGATGAGTCCATCATGGCCAGCTGGCCTTGAATTGCCAAGTGAACTTCCATCAAAATTAAGTTTGAAGGAATTCACTAGTGGTGGTATCCAAACAACCTCATTATGAGTGTTATTGGTAGTCGCCCCTGCCAAGGGATTACTAACGATAAGACTTTTAAGAATAAATCCACTATCCTTATGTGCAAGGAACCAATCAATTGCAACTGCCAAAATATTTGATTTTAATTAGACAGATCTGTACTTATACTATCAAATACTTTTCTATTTCTTTCCTTCCACACGTTCTAAATAAGGCCAACCCAAATAGATCTCCAAAAAATAGTTTCCATCTTTGAAATATTGGATGTGATCCATTGGTCATGAAGAGCTCTGACATTTTGGGGCAAATAAAATGGCAGATTGAGGCACTACCGAGCCCAATCCCAAATATATGTAATAAAAGGGCATGAGAGGAATAGATGTTGTGAAGTTTCATCACTGTCTTTGCATAGGATATATACATTGGTGATAATAAACCTCTTCTTTATCAAATTGACAATAATTGTTAATTTATCTTAACATAGGATCCATAAGAATAGCTGCACTTTAAGAGGCACAAGTAATGTCTTAATCTTGAAAAAACCAACATCCAACTCTCTCCAACGATAAAAAAATAATATATTATAGGTTGACTTAATCGAAAAATCTCCCAAAGGGATAAGATCCCACATAAAGTTATCATCTATATTTGGAGTCAAATATGTATCATTCAATAATTCCAACAATGTCTGATACTCCTCAATGAATTTATCTGTACCTCTCCTGTACCTGTAAGGAATGGACCAAACAATATTAGTTTAAACACCCACTAGCTTCATTGACAGATGCTAGCGGGTTTAAAGCTTTTGAGAAAACCTCTAGGAAAATGTATCTCAACGGTTCATCTCCAATCCATTTGTCGAACTAAAGAGAGTGGATTCTCCATTCGCCACTATTTTTTGGAATTGCCGTAGATACACAGGTCTCTCATAGTGAATACCCTCTCCAAACATGGGACAAACTTATTATGTTTCTTGGACTTTTAATGAGGCCAAAGTTCAAATCTATTCCATATTTATCTCTCAAAACAAGCACCCAGAAAGACTTAGGTTGTATATGGATCCTCTACCACCATTTTACTAAAAGTGCTGAGTTCATATCTTTCAATCTCTTAACACCCAATCCCCCTTCTTTCATTAGTCTACAAACTTTTTCCCAATGCACCAGATGAAATATTTTCCTTTTTATGTCATCTCCCCACAAGAAATTTCTCATAACTATCTCTAATTGTTTTTCAACTTCTTTTGGCATCCTAAATGAGGACATAAAATATACTGGAGGTTGGACAAAGTGGATTTAATCAACATATATATCTCCCCCATAGAAAGAGTTTTAGCTTTTTAAGTGTCAAGTTTCTTGTCAAATCTCTCAACCACCGGATCCCAAATTGATCTTGAAGGCCTGGAATCCACTAAATAAATTCCCAAATAAGTACAAGGTAAGGACTCAACACCACAACCTAATAGATGTGTCATTCTTGAAACTACAATTTGTAGACAGCCAATACTAATGAGTTTGATTTTACTCAAATTAACTTTAAGTCTAGTTGAGAGTTTCACACTTTTCAAGAAAATCCATAGGCAAGTGATTTCCTTAACCATGGGATCACGGAATATAATGGTATAATCAGCATACTGTAAATGTGATACTATAAGACCATTATTACGAATATTAATACCTGATACGATCCTTTGCACTATCAATCCATTAAGCATGACACTGAAGCTTTCAGCTACCAAAGTATATAAAAATGGTGAAAGATAATCCCCTTGTCTCAATCCTCTTGATCTTTTGAAAAAATCAGTTGCTTTGCCATTAACAAGAACTGAAAAATGCGTAGAAGACAGACAACCATCAATCCACAATCTCCACCTTAAATGAAAACCCATTTTAGCCATGATAGTTTGTAGTACCCTACAATCAACCTTATCATATGCCTTCTCAAAGTCTAGCTTACAAATAAGTTTCGGTTTGTCATCCTTGATTCTTTAGTGGATACATTCTTGTGTAACCAAAATACTACCCATAATTTGTTAATCCTTCAAGAATGGTCATTTAATAACTATGTGAATCACCTGGCACAATCTATTAACTAAAATCTTTGCTATGATTTTATAAAGACTACCAATAAGACTAATAAGCCGAATATCTTTAATCTCTGCAATGACATTTTTCTTTGGAATTAAAGCAATGAAAGTAGAATTCATGGCAATTGTAATTTTAGCCCTCCAATAAAATTATTTCAATAATTGAACAATATCATCTTTCAAAATATCCCAAAAAGATTGAAAAAATGCCATTGGGTATCCATCTGGGCTAGGAGCCTTGCTCTACCTAGGTCTAAGACTGCATCTTTGATTTTTTGCTCTTCAAATTGTCTCTTCAACCACTGAGCTTGTTATAACGGCAACTTAGTAAAATGTAGATTTTGAATGGATAGTTGAATCCCACTATCGACCTCATAAGACTTCTTGAAATGATAAACCAGTGCTCTTTCAACTTCTGACATGTTGTGACAGCCTATTCCTTCAATACGGAGGCTTTGAATTGAGTTACCCCTATTCCTTGTATTAACAATAGCATGGAAGAATCTTGTGCTTTTATCGCCCTCCTTAAGCCATTTCACACGAGATCTTTGCCTCCAATGGATTTCTTCTAAATTAAGCAACTGTTTATACGTAGCCACCCATAAGCTTTTGTCTCTGAATTGATCATGTGTTGGAGCACATCTCATAAATTGGACATTATCTAACTCCTCTATATGAGACTTCGCAGCCCTGATTTTAGATTGTAAATCTCCTCAAACATTCATCTTCCATGTAATAATCCTTTGTTTCGATAGATGGAGCTTCTTTGAAATTTGGAAACCTTTCCAACTATCAATGGTAGTATTTTTCCAAAGATCTTCAATCAGGCTGAGTAAATATCTCTCTAATAGCCATGCCAATTCAAATTTAAATGAGGATGGTCCAAACAAAAAACCATCAGAGTTAAGGAGTCGTCCTTTATTTCAATAATCATTTGTTCCAAGGAAAAAATTAATATAAGGATGCAACCTTATAATGTAGAACTACGGATGCACCTAAAAAATCCATCGGAAAAGGTAGTTTTAATGTTGAAAAAGCATTTGATTGATTATCTCGACATCGAGATGTATGACCATGAAAAATAAAAATATTTTAAGTCTCAGAAATAGCGAATTTTACAACATATTATCTACACCATCCATTTTCAAGATTTTCATATGTTTATAGATCTACTTGATTTTAACCTTTTTTTAAATTTAAAATTTTATAATTAGATATAAAAATAGATTTTGAGATAATCCTAGGAAGATTTTACATCAAAATTATATACCATGATAAAATTTGAAAATTTGGAAGGTGTGCATTACCTCTACAGCTACGGATGCATCTGTATGCCAACCGCACCCTTGTTTCAATACTAAGAGGCGTTTCTTTGCAAGAGTTGTCTATCGCTGAGGATTTGATGTCCTTGCCACCTCTATAATTTCTTTGTTTTTATTTCATTATTAATAAGATTAGTATTATTGTCCCCAAAAAAAATAAAAAATAAAAAGAACGGAGAATTAGATTTCCTCTCCCAAAAAAAGAAAAAAAGAAAAAAAGGAAAACAATAAACCCCTTCCACATCCCTCTTTCCAACAAGAAAATTAGGTGGTCATTTGATTGGAGAAGCACCAGAGCATCGTAACGAAGCAGGTTGTGCTAGAGTTCCTCCAACTAAAGGTTCTCATGAATCTCAAGCTAGAGACTTGAGGTAGAACGCTAAACCATATAAGCCAAATCTACAGACTTGATACATTTGCCTTGAAGATGGTTCTCAGGCATCGAATGCTCAAACCAAGAACTAGTATGGAGCTAGAAATAGAGTCAGGAAGATAAATGATGAATGGGTTCCTATCCGTGTTATCAAGATTGGACTAGCCACTATTTTGGGGCCTTGTCCGATGAAGTTGTCGATCTGACTAGACTGGATTTCAAAAACTAAAAAAAAAAACACAATTTAAAATATAAAAGTTATTAATGAAAAAGTAACAACTTTTGTTTAACCAAACTAATCGATCAAAATCAACCATTTCAATTGATCAAAATTTGTCAAACATTAGTTTTTAACTAATTTTCTACCAAACCCAATATGAACCGAATCAACCAAGAATAGGTTGATAGCTCAACCAATCTAGACGGTCCAGTTCAATTTTGATGACTGAGGTCCTACATTATTCAATTTTGATGACTATGAGTTCCGACGTTATGAATTCCATCTAACCTTGATCTAGTTGGAGAAAAGGACAGCATGGAGGAGGCTCGAAAGTAAAAAGGGCTGCATGATGTGAGAGGCTCCACAGAGAGGAAAAAAGAGGGAGGAAAAGCACACTCACCATGGAATGCCATTTTCCCAGCTACAGTGAAGAAAACCGAGAAGATTCTCCTATTCAATTGCTACCATGAATGACTCTCCCCCAAAAAAACAACAAAAATCAAGAAAGGCCCATTTACCATGAAAACATTTTTAAGAGAACATTTTCATAAGAAATAAACGTGGTGTCGACACTGAGAACAGGAGTGCCCACGGAGCAAGGACTAGACTTTCACTGATGAAGTATCATTGTAACTAAGAAGTTGAAAACGCTATATTAAAGTCGAAAAAAAAAAAGCATGGCAATTGTTAAAATCACATAACTTAGCGCACAAAATTTACCATTGGAATTGATGTACAAATCCGCCTTTCTTCTTCGCCCCTGCCCCCAAAAAACAAGAAAAGACTCAAAAGAACGAACCTTCCCAGTGGACGACTGCTCCCCTTAGCTTTTGAGAATAGCGTACTTCTCTCACGATAATGCTTATGAAAAGGAAGTTTCTGGCTGGTGGGTAATTCTGGTTCTATTGGTCCAAGTTTTCATTCCCCCTTATTTATTGAGGAGGTGAGGTTTGAGAATTGAACCTTTAGACTCGTTACGCTTAACGACTAAACTCGTCAGGTAAGTACCAATCTGCTATGTTAGATGTGCTTCCACCACCAGCTTCTACTCCATTTCACCTAGATGAGGTATCAATTCTGCAGAGAGGTCTTCTCCCTCTCTGCCTCCCTCTCCCTTCCAGCAGATTCTCTCACATACATCCCCCATCCGGCACAAAATAGCACGCCTTAAGATGTTTGACACCCACTCAGGGCTGCTCATCCTGTTCGCCATTCACACGCCGCCTTTGAGGGGCAGACTCTTCATCTTCATCATCTCCTCGAACCCAAACAATCCGTCTTGGCCTCCTCCTTGTCGCTCTTGACACAGTCGTCCCTGACACTGGACTAAAGACCTGAAACACAACAAAAACATTCCACCCATTGCCTTCATCACCAGGAAAATCCATTAAATCTTCCTCGCTCTCTGCACCCCCTTCAATAACATAATCACCAAGCATCGTTGCCCCGGGCATGATTGTGCTCAGCACATCGTTGAGATTGTGATGATGCTCCAAACTCCTCCAAATGCGCTCGCGCTCTGGGTCCACCTCTGAGGGTCGAACCAAAGGATGCACTGCACGTGCGTGAACCCTCAAATCTTCATAGCTTCCTCTAAACCCACAAGACTCGTTTGCACAACCCCTTAACTTGGCATCCAAGCACGAGCGAGCCTTCTCCACCACGCCCCATCCCTTAATATGGCCTCGACATAATGGGCAAAAAAGTTGATCCAAGCATATAGGAGAAGGGGAAGGGGAAGGGGTGTCTGAGGAGAAGGCTTTGTGGAAGCGATCGAGGCAGTTGGAGTGGCGGTAGCTGGTGTCACACATGTACGGGCGGCAACCCCGTTCATGAGAAGAGCATAAGAGGAGAACAGCATTGTGAGGGTGCTCTAGGCACACAGTACATCTCACATCATCCCATTCTTCTTTTTCTTCCTCCTTTGAGATGGTCTTAGCATGAGAGCCACAAGATGCACTTGCTCCCTCAAAAGATGAGGGAGTAGTCTCTGTCTTTTCATCCAACATCCTTTGGCACGTAATATTCACCTATACACACAAGGAAACCACAATGTAACAAAACTATGTAAAACTCCAGTAATTCAATCCATCCAAGATCAATGGCCAACTGGCTCTAGGTTTGAACATATCAAGAGATGCAAGGGGTTTAAGAGGGTTGAGTAACGAGGATGGCTCCAGCCTTCCCTTGAGACCAGTTTAATGAAAAGTAAAAACTCTTTTCCCAGAACAAATTGAGTACTTTTCCAATAGAAACAAGCAGCGGAAATGAATAATTCTCTATATCAGCATGGCAAATACAAGCAAATATCTATAAATTTCATTTCCTACTTTTCATGCTTAGAAGGTGAAGACTAATATATATATATATATATATAAGGAAAAGTTTACATAGAGCTGAGGCTCTAAACAATCAAATTAGAGCCTACCTAAAAAATTTCAGTAGAAGAGGTTGTTTTGATGCCCAAATGTCCTCAAGTTGATCATCTTGACATCAAGATGCATGGATATGAGAAAAAAATGAATTTCAAGTTTTGGAAGTAGTATTTGGATCGTCAATTTTCAAGATTTTCATAGATCTATCGATCCATACTATTTTTGAGGCTTTAAACTTTATAAATAAAGATGAAAATATATTTTAAGGCTATCACAAAGATTTCCAGTATTGAAACCACATTTCTCGACACTATTTGAAGGTGGGCTCTAATTTGAATGTTTAGAGCCTAGGCTCTATACAAATCGCACCCATATATATATATATATATATATATGGAAAACACTACGCAACGCCTATAGGCGAAAATAAACATTGATTTTGTCTATCCTCATCACCATCCAAAGTTCATCGCGAGGTCACGATTGGCTGGTAGTGTTTCATTTTTCATTTCATTTCTACAAATCGGAATGACCTGAAATTTAAAGCGTGTATTCATCAAAAATAGGGGAATCTTCAAAAAATATAAAAAATATATTTTACATGAAAACAATTGACCAAAATACCCCCGAAAAGTTTCGGAGGTATTTTGGTCAATTTGGTTTTCACGGATAATTTTTTTTTATAGTTTTATTAGATGCGCCCCAGTAAGATGTACATACCCTCTAAATTTCAGGTCATTCCAATTGGTATAAAAAAAATGAAAAATAAAACACTACAAAACAATCGTGACCGCACCATGAAATTTAGACGGTGATGAGGGTAGGCGAAATCACTATTCATTTTCGCCTATAGGCGTTGGGAAGACTTCCTAACCAAACATGAAATCAATGATCCTTCCTAACATGAAATCAATTAAAAACCTTAACTAAACAAATTATAAGTACAAAAGTGTGTTTTCCAAAAATGGTTAACCCTCAGAGCCTAAAAACCCCAATTTTTGTGCCTAATTCTACATAAATCTAGGTTCTAATCACTTAGATCAAATGAACAAATTTGGTACAAAATTGAAGATTCAATCTTTGATTTTGTGGAATATGCCCAAAATTTATCTAAAACTGTGGGAAAATATCGAAAAGAATAACAAATCAAATTTTAATATACCTGTTTCGGAACAATTCAGTGGGCTTTTGGTATGAAAGCTTTGATGAAATTTGTCTAAAATTGGGGCCGATATGAGTATGAATTATAGTTCTTGGATGTTAAGGAAACCCAAAATTTTTGGCCTTGATCTTGAACAAAATCATATATTTCTTTTAGGGCAAGCTTTCTATGCTTCCCTTGCAGCATAAAACTTATATAATCCCCCTTATCGAACCCTCCATTCTGAATGGAAGTGCCCGAATCACAATGTCACGTATCTACACCATTTTATTTTTAATTTTTTTTCTATAAACTATTTTGACACCAAATTTTGGATGTCCATTCCTCTATTAAACTCGCACTAGCGAAAAATATAAAAAAAAATAGTTTCACTAAAATAAAATGACCAAAATAACCCTGAAAGTTTCAAAGGGTATTTTGGTTATTATATTTTATCGAAAAATTATTTTTAATATTTTTTATAAATGCACCCCAATGAGAAGATGACACGTACCAAATTTCATATTCATACAATTCGTATAAAAAAAATTAAAAATAAAATACTTTGAGACGTCGGATCTAAGATAAAACGGTGAGTGGCTCTCTTGATCAAAAGTGGACAGCTGGATGGTAGGGGGAGGATAGAACTTCTATGTTGTACGGGAAGTATAGAAACCTTTCCCTTTTTTTTAAAATTGATGGCATGCTGTGATGACGGGATCAAATGTCTATCAGTTTAACCAAATTTCAGAAAATTTGGCTCCAAAACTAAGAAGAATTCACAACTTTGGTGGATTTGGGAAAACTGCAAAAAATCCAAAATTCTAGAGCTAAATCTTGAACCAAAGTTGTTTTGCTATTGAAATTGATGATGTAGTGTGATGAAGGGATCAAATATATTTCAAAAAAACCAAATTTGAGCAAACTTGGTTCCAAATTTGAGAAATGATTACAACATTTGCAGATTTTGGGGAAAGGGGCAAAAAAGTTTGTTTTTTCATTAAAAACAAATAAACGAAATCTTGATGCAAATTTGACACAAATACGGCTGATGTGTGATTGAAGCAGTCATTTGCAGCAACTTATAGACTAAAAATGATAAAAACACGATAAAATTTGACGGCTTTTGAGATGTAAAAGGCCAAGTTATGGGCCTGAAAATAGAGAGAGAATTCAACTCTGACCAATTCTCAGCCAGTTCTTATTTCCTGAAACAGGATTGGGCAATCCAACCTGGTATCAGCCAATTCCCAATACTTCCCAGGAATTGAATTTGGGTACCACCGATGCCGATCTAGATCTGCGAATTTTTAAAGACCGGTTAGAAGAATTTATAAAACTGCAAGTAGCATTGTACAAATCAGTGTTCCATAGTTGCCTGAGCAAACAATGCATGCTATAAAGGTGGAGAATAGGTTTTGGGAGGCATTTAGAACACCCCACTATTCTGACTGCTTTTCATAAGGTAAAGCATCACAATAATCTGAAGAGCCTCTCACAGAGGAATCCACATAAGTATGTTATTGTACGCTTTGTGCTTTTTGTATACTTGTGTATACTGGGGCCATGAAGAACACCACTCTGTTCCAACTACTTTTCATTGATATAAAGCAACACGATCATCTGAAGGACCCCTCACAAAGGAGTCGACACAGTCGTATTACTGTACTATTAGTGCTTTGTATGTAATTGTGCATATGCTTATGTCATCGTTTTTTCTTAGTAAGGGTAGTTGTATTTTCACTCCGAAGTGGGTTGAGTATGTTGTAAGGGTAACCATGCTTTTGACTCAATGAGAAGTTACAGAATCTCTAACATGCATTTAAGCACCTTACAGGATGTTGGAGAAGAAAGTAGGGTCTGTACTAACAACCGCATGGAAAAAATTTGGCGTTTTTACATTAAGTAATTAATACCACAAATCTTCATTTTGGGTACAGAATTCACATGAATCAAAATACCAATTTGATCTATACATGTCAAAGATGTAAGCATTTTTGGGGAGAAATGACTGGATATAGAATCTGCCATGGGTATGAATTCAGGGATTGAAATAATGAATGGCTAAGAAGATCTGAACTTGATAGATATAAGCATGCCCAAACTACATAGTTAACAAACTTTTTGTCTTTCTTTTGAGAAAAATATGGTCAACAACTTCAGATATACACATATGAGCAACCGTTGATAAAGGTGGATATCTCTTTTTTTTGTTTTTTTTTGTTTTTAGCCTCTCCTCAAGAAAATAGGGATGTCAGGTATGGATGGTTTGTGGTTTGTGTCAAAGGAAAACATGGGAGATATAGGACTCTTTGCTGAAGTCCCCTGCCACCAGTGTTACATGGACACTGAGATGGGTGTTGTATTTAGTACGTGTCAAGTGTCTAATATGTCGGCCCAAAATTCCACTATGGGGCCAACACATCCGTACAATCATGTATATACAAATTTAGTGAATAGATAAAGCCTAAAAGAATGACAAGAAAATAAATGAAAACTAAATTTTAATAAAGTATTGAACTCATAAATATAAAATTATTTTGCCAAAACAATAAACTGATTTTAGAAAATAAAATAATATGAATCATAAGCTGGTAACTCTTGTTCATCACCTCTCTCGGTGATGTTTTTGCCCCTCGGGGTATTATGTAACTTTCCTTCTACTTAATGCAATGTTAATAGTATCAAAAAATAAAATAAAATAATATGTTTTCCAGAAAATTTTTTATTTTATTTTATTTTTGAGTTTATGTGGGCATGTTAATATTGCAATGAATTAATAAAAATACATAATAATTATATCCATAAACATATGTCTTTGATAATAAGCTAATAACATATCAGTATAGTCTATCATAAGTTAAATAGAGTATGAAATATATAGTACATATTAAATAGTCAATAACATATTAAATAGCATATACATGCATGGGCATCCATTAAATGGACATTTCTTTTCATGAACATGCCTTGCATAATGTACATGGTTCTTTGCAAAATTTATTGCACTTGGACTATTACAAGAGACGATAGTCCCCTCTTGCTAAAACCTAAATGACTTATAAAACCTCGAAGCCAAAGGACTTCTTTCACTACTTCGATAACAACCATGTATTTTGCTTTGGTCGCAGATAACGTTGGCTGTAGCATCGACCTCCAACTAATCAGAGTTCTACCAAGTGTAAACACCTACCTTGTAATAGGTATTTCACAATCTGAATTGCTTATAAAATCAGCCACATAGTGAACAACCTTGTCACCGAGCTTGCTACACCAGATGAACACCAGACCCATATCTAATGTGCCCCTTAGGTAACACAAAAGTTTATTGCAAGCCAATGCTCCTTTCATGGGTTAGCTACATACTCACTAACAACACTAACAACATGTGAAATATCTGGACAAGTGAAAACCATTACATAAATGAGACTTCCAACTACACTCCATAGGGAAACACGAGACACGTATGCCTTTTTGGCGTATGCATTTAGAGATATGCTGCCAACAATCTGAAATGTGCAACAAGATTACTTACAAGCTTTAAATTCTCCATCCTGAATCTTGTGAGGACCTTCTCAATGTATTCCTTTTGAGATAGCCACCGTTTAACTAGCTTTCTATCTTGATGTATTTCTATACCCAAAAAGTTTTCTTTGCTGAACCTAAATCTTTCATTTCAAATTTCTGAGTCAAGCTGCGTCTTCAACTTATTGATCTCTGCAGCAAACTTTGCAGCAAGAAACATCTCATCCGCATAGAGCAACAACTAGATGAACGAGCCCATTAGTAATTCTCTTAAAATACGGCAAATTATCATAATTCTAACATACCCATGTCTAAGGATGAAAGTATCAAAGTGTTTCTATCATTGTCGAGTAAATTGGTTCAGGTCGTGCAATGACTACTTCAGCTAGCAGACATGGGCCCCCTTACCTTTGATCACAAACCCTTATGCCGAATCATACAAATCTATTCCTCTAACTATCCATGCAGGAAAGCAATCTTGACATCAAGATGCTTCAACTCCAAATTGTACAATACAACCATGCTAGTAAGAAATTACTAGTAGAAAAAAAAAAGTTGTCACCATCAATACTAGAATACAATATTCAACTCTCTCAGTATAGAATTTATCCAATTGATATGCTCATGTTTAAAAAGGCTAATAACATTTCATAGAACATAGTCAGGCTAGGTCATTAAAAAAAAAAGAGAATAAGGTCCTCAGCCAAGGTAGGCAAGCTCAAAGTTCTATCAAGTTGCCTTTCGCGTAAGTTTCAATGAGGTTGCAAACTACATGAAGCTAATTGCGATGGCGGTTCTTACTTACATCAATCCTTTAAATCTGTTCGTTTCACTTCGATTATGTCTTGGTCAATACAATCAATTTAGGTACAACTTTCATTAGCTATTAAAGAGCATATGGCCGCTATAATGAAAAAAAAAAAAAACTAAATTCCAATTGCAACCGTAGATACACCATCGAGCCTTTAAAACAATCTTTATTTTTTACTGTTGTGCCATTAGGAGTATCCATAAACCACAATTATATTAACCGGGAATAAGAACTATGATAATTAAACCAGGGCATAAAATAAAAGTATACTGCAAGCATCATACCAAATATAAAAAAAAAAATTGCAGGCAGATGAGAATAAATTTTGTGACCTACGCATAAAATAAAAGTATACTGCAAGCATCATACCAAATATAAAAAAAATCGCAGGCAGATGAGAAGAAATTTTGTGACCTAGCCATCTTCAGAGAACATTAAATAGAATGAAAGAGTACACGAAAATGAGAAGAAACGGAGAGGGAGAAATTGTACAGATTACTGACTTCTTCAGCAGGGAGATGGGGGAAGGAATTGCGGGTAGGAGGATGAGGAGGAGCCGCCGCAGCGAAAGAGGGAAAATGAAATCAAATTCAGTCGCGGAACGCGTCAAGTCATCCAGGATGGAACACACGCCACCGCCCCTGAAAACCTAGAAAATATCAAGGAAACCCTCTCTTCCTATGTAACACAACATTCACTGCCTTTCCCGCTTTTATCGTGCCTCCATAGATGACGTTATGGCGTGGCCTTTCCCGTCTATAACGTAACGTAGATTCCATTACCAATGACGTTTTTATTTTTATTTTTTAAAATTACGTAAATATCAATTATATTTTTCATTATTACGAAAATACCTAAAATTTGATATTATTATATAAACATTCATTTTTTTTCAACTTCATAACACTTTCAGAAAAAAAAAAAAAACGAAGTATAATAATCCTATAGGATCTTCCCCCATCTGCTTCTATAGGACCCCAATAACTGACCGTTGAATTTAGAACAGCTAACCGTTGAATTTACAACAAATCTCGCGATGAGATTGAAAGGCTCATCGTCTAACTGGCTTCCCATTAGGTTGCCGGTGACTTTCCTCTGCCCCTCTCTCTCTCTCTAAAATACTTCTTCGAAAAAATCCTTTTGCTCCCGTTCTCTGTGACTTTCCTCTGCCTCTCTCTCTCAAATACTTACTTGAAAAAACCCTTTTGCTCCCGCTCTATGTGACTTTCCTCTGCCTTTCTCTCTCTAAAATACTTCTTTGAAAAAACCCTTTTGCTCCCGCTCTTTCTGAAACTCTCTTCCTCACGGGAGTGTTTTCCTCTGCCTCCATCTAAAGAGCACTAACTTAAAAACAGATAAACTGTTTATTTTTTGTTTTTGAAAAACCAAAATTTAAGAACTTTTAAAAATATTTAAATATCAATATTTTGGAAATTTAAAACACTAACGTCTAAATATTTTGGAAATTTTTTAAAATTTTGAAAAATTAAGAGATTAAAAAACTTTCAATTCTTAAAAAATAGAATTTCAAAAATCGATTTTTTTAAATATTAATATTATGAATGCCAAATATTTAAACTTGGGATTGAATTGGCTTTTTTGTTATCATGGATGCATCTACACTTTCACTGCAAGGGTTTGAGTCCCCTTATATGCAATATAATTTTCATGGAATGGGTGTGGCTTTTTAGTTATCATGGCTCCACACATTCATGGGTTCAAATCTCCCTGTATACAATCTAATTTATTTCAATAAAAAATTGATGAATATTTTTTATAATTGTAAAAAAACATAAAATAAAATCCATCTTGAAATGGGCAAGATTTGAATCCAAAAACCTCTTAAAAAAAACCATAATGTTTTTACTAATATAGTCGT